GTGTGCAGGAGGCAGCTGGGCAATGTTTCTCTATCATTGACGTTTCTAGCTCTTTATCCTTCTCCCTTCCTCTCTGTGGAAAATCAATAAAATATATTTTAAAAAAAAACAATAAAAAACAATGTGACTGTACTTAATGGCACTGAATTGCATACTTAAAAAGTTACTATAATAAAATTTAGCTTATGTTCAGTTTACCACAATATTAAAAAAAATTTACCTTTTATCCAGAGCTCTCAATACTTTCGCAAAAACTTCCAATTCACAAAATTCACTACCCAATTGACATAAGCGTCCCTGTTGGTAAAGCTGAAATAAAAAAACAAAAAGAGGTAATTAAAATTTTTAAATTTAATTTCTACTTTAAGTATACTTATGAATTTAATTCTATGACCTTAATATTTGATTAATTTATTTTATACTACTCAAAGTTGGTATGATTACATAGTAATATCAGGAAAAATGTTTGTGTTAATAGAAATGTAACACTAAATCAACAAATTTATACAATTCATATAAAAGCATTTTAATAATTGTATCTGATAGTTAGAAATTAGTTATATGTATATGATCTATGTAGACTCTAAAGAACAAAATACATAAATAAACAAAAAAGAGACACATTGATGCAGAGAACTTATTGGTTACGGGGGGGGGGGGGGGTAGGTTGAAGGACTGGGCGAGAAAAGTGAAAGGACTAGGAAGTACAAATTGGTAGTTGCAAAATAGTTATTGGGATGTAAAGTACAGCATAGGAAACATAGTCAATTACATATATATATGGCTAATATGCTAAGGGCCCAACAGTTTGACCAGTTGCTATGATGTGCACTGACCACCAGGGGGCAGACTCTCTGATAGGTTAGCGTGCTGCTGGAGTCTGGCTGATGGGGACTGTGTGGGATGGGCCCACGTGCACCAGTGGGGTCCCTCAGTGAGCCAGTTTTGGCTGATCCCCACAGGCCAGGCAGAGGGGCCCTCTGGTGCTCGAATCCAGACCAGGCCTCTAGTATTGTAATAATTATGTATGGTGCCAGGTGGGTACATGAATTATTAGAGATCACTTTGTAAAATATGATTATCTAACCACTACACTGTACACCTGAAACTAATACTCAATGTCAACTGTAGTTGAAAAATAAATATAAAAATTAATATTTGTAAAAATAGTATGGGGTACATGATTAAGTAATAAAGTATTATAGTTATATATTTATTAAATAAATATTAAAACGTCTTATAGAAAACTGAAGGCAATTATTTCAAGGGCAATGCAGGACAGCCCCAAGCCCAGAGAAAGATGGGGATAAAAACCTTTCCAAACCAATTCAAAGTTATCATAGGCAAAAAGTGAACAGCTGCCGAAACCGGTTTGGCTCAGTGGATAGAGCGTTGGTCTGCGGACTGAAAGGTCCCAGGTTCAATTCCGGTCAAGGGCATGTACCTTGGTTGCAGGTACATCCCCAGTAGGGGATATGCAAGAGGCAGCTGATCGATGATTCTCTCTCATCAATGTTTCTAACTCTCTATCCCTCTCTCTTCCTCTGTAAAAAATCAATAAAATATATTTTTTTTTAAAAGAAAAAAAGAAAAGTGAACAGCTTAATCTTAACATCTAATTAGCATATAAATAATTTAGAATAATTCCTCAAAAAATTTTAGAAAACTTTAGAAAAAGATATAAAAGAAATTGAGCCCAGTCCTAGCCACTTTGGATCAGTAGATAAGAGTACAGGCCCAGGTTCAATTCTGGTCAAGGGCACATGCCTGGGTTACGGGCTCGATCCCCAGTGGAGAGTGTGTACCTAGGTGGCAGCCGATTAATGATTCTCTCTTATCATTGATGTTTCAATCTCTCTCTTCCTCTCTGAAATCAATAAAAACCATATTTTTTTTTAAAAGATTGAGCTATGACTCTTCCATAGGGTCAGTCCTGGGAAATAAGCCAAAGGTTTAAGTGGACATGTTCATTTCATTAAAAAGCACAAGAAACAGACAGTTAACTTACTAAAGTAAATTTAAATAGGTTGTCCATTAGACCCACCATCCATTAAATAAAAGTTTCCCCCCCACTTTCAATTGTAATGTGAATGAATTTATGTCCAATACCCAGATTCTTTAACTCTATTGCTCACTTGATGGGTTCATGGCTTAATTTTCAAGATAGCATTATTGTGTTAATTATGGAAGATGCTACCATGATATAAATGGAAGGTTAAAACAAAAATCTAGTTAGATGTAAAATCTAACCAATAATGATAACCAGCCATATGCAACTCGTAAGTAATATGTAAATCTGAATAAATTTCTCAGCTTTTTTTAAAGCTTCACTATCAATATGTGGTGAAAATTAGAAGTATATCCATGAGACAATAGAGAGGGTAGTATAGTTATAAGAAACACATTCTAGTCTAAATAATCAACTTTAAAATATTTGTTTCCTCTGATTGCAGATTACATACATTTTTAGAAAAATTAGAAAATAAAGAAAAATTTGCCAAAACTGGTTTGGCTCAATGGATAGAGCGTCGGCCTGCTGACTGAAAGGTCCCAGGTTTGATTCCGGTCAAGAGCATGTACCTTGGTTGTGAGCACATTCCCAGTAGGGGGTGTGCAAGAGGCAGTTGATCTATGTTTCTCTCTCATCAATGTTTCTAACTCTCTATCCCTCTCCCTTCCTCTTTTTAAAAATCAAAAGTACCAATTTATTTTTTTCCCTCCTAGGTTTTGAATTCATACTTAGAAAAGTCTTTCCCATGACAAGATGGCATTCTAGTGTTGGCAAGACAAGTAATAGAGGACTTCATCTTTTATAACATTATTTATTTTTATGTTTGACATTTTAAAATTTTATAAATTACCTTAAAAATAATTTATTGGAAGAAATTTCAATCCTTTCCCACTACAAGATACTGACTCAATAATTTATCCTGATTCCTTTGTGATTTCATTTGCCATATTTAAATTTTTAACCACTGGGATTTCATTTTGGTATACAGTGTGAAGTAGAGGTCTAACTTTTCCCCCAAATACTCTGTTGCCCAAGGTATTTTTGTATGTTTCCCTCACTTATTTGTAATACAGCACTGTCTCATAACTTGATCATATACTAAATTCTTAAATATGCTTTGGTTTCTACCTTGACTGTCTACTTTGTTCTTTTTTTAAAAAGTAAATTTTTGTTGATTTCAGAGAGAGGAAAGGAGGAAAGAAAAAGCAGAGAGATAATCATCAACCGCCCCCTCTCCTCCACCATGCAATCCCCCTACCGGGACTGAGCCCATAACCCGGAAATGTGCTTGATGGGGAATCAAACCATGACCTCTGGGTTCACAGGTCCATGCCAACCACTGAGCACCATGGGCCAGGCTAAATCTTCCCAGCAAGATCTCTAATGCTCCTGTCCACTATGTTCTACAAATCAATTTCTCTCTGTTTTTGTGATACTGCTACACTGTTTTAAAATATATAGCTTTCTAATATACCGTATTTTTCGGACCATAAGACGCACTTTTTCCCCCCCAGAAGTGGGGGGGAAAAGTCCCTGCGTCTTATGGTCCAAATATAGCCTACACATATACTTTAAAGAAGTTTTTTTACTTGCCCAGCTCTGTGTGGTCTCTGTGTGCTTGCCCGGCTCTAAAATGGTTCTAAATGCTGCTGTTTACTTTACAGGGTTGATTACATGTGTTTATGACTGTGATGTTGGGTTTTAATGCACATAAAATATTTTAGGACACTATTTGTTTCAGAATCTTTTTTTCTTCATTTCCCTTCTCTAAAAACTGGTGCGTCTTATGGTCCGAAAAATACGGTAATTGACTGTCTTATAATGCACGTCTTTGCTAAGTATTGTGCATCTTCAAAATTTCCTTGACTCATTAATTCTCATGTAATTCCTCCAGATGACGTTTATATTTAATCAGTTTTCTATATCCAATAAAATCCTGAGTCTGATTCAAATTGTGATAAATTCATACCTTAAACTGAGGAGTTGACATATTATAACCTTTCCATCAAAATATATGGTGTGACTCAGTGGTTGAGCATCAACCAGTGAACCAGGAGGTCACAGTTCAATTCCTGGCCAGATAACATGCCCAGGCAGTGAGTTCTATCCCCAACAGGAGGCAGGTATGAGGCAGCGAACAATGATTCTCTCTCATCATTGATGTTTCTATCTCTCTCTCCCTCTCCCTGCTGCTCTGAAATCAGTAAAAATATATTTCAAAATTTTTTTTTTAGCCCTAACCGATTTGGCTCAGTGGATAGAGCGTTGGCCTGAGGATTCAAGGATCCCAGGATCGATTCTAGTCAAGGACATGTACGGTACTTAGTTGTGGGCACATACCCAGTAGGGAATGTGCAGGAAGTAGCTAATCGATGTCTCCCTCTCTCTCTTTTATTTATTTATTTATTTATTTATTTTATTTTTTCCAAAATATATTTTATTGATTTTGTACAGAGAGGAAGGGAGAGAGACAGAGAGCTAGAAACATCGATGAGAGAGAGTCATCGATCAGCTGCCTCCTGCACATCCCCCACCGGGGATATGCCCGCAACCAAGGTACATGCCCTTGACCGGAATCGAACCCGGGACCCTCCAGTCCCCAAGCCGACGCCCCATCCACAGAGCCAAACCGGTCTCGGCTCTCTTTTTTTTAATTTTTTTTATTTTTTTTAATTGATTTTTTACAGAGAGGAAGGGAGAGGGATAGAGAGCTAGAAATATTGATGAGAGAGAAACATCGACCAGCTGCCTCTGCACACACCCGTGGATGTGCCCACAACCAATGTACATGCCCCTTAACCAGAATCAAACCTGGGACCGTTCAGTCCACAGACCGATGCTCTATCCACTGAGCCAAACTGGTTTCAGCTAATCGATGTTTCTCATAGATATTTCTAACTCTCTCTCTCCCTTCCTCTCTGTAAAAAATCAATAAAATATATTTAAACATATATTTAATATATATATTTTTTTATTTTTTTTTAAAGAGTTTTTAACGTTTTAATACAGGTCAGCATGTCAGGCTCATTTCAGCTCCTTCACGGCCAAACCCGGGGCAGGGATTGCTTCAGCTTCTCGGCCTTCTCCTTGTCCGTGATGACCAAGGTGTACGGGTACCTGCTGCATCGGACTTTGAACTTCACATTATCCTTATTCTTCTTGATCTTGACAGATTTGGCGTCCTTCCGCCAGGCTGTGAGCAGGAAGACCTTGATCTCCTCAATCTTGCGAGGCATGGCTGCGAGGCGCGGAGCGTGCGGCCGGCGCCTCGGATTAGCCCCACTATTCCCCGTGTACCGCCAAAGAGGCACTTACAACAAGCCTATTTAATATATATTTTTAAAAAATACATGATATGGCTGGCTATTTATGTTCTTTTGTGTCCCTCCCTTATAAAGTTTTCATTTTCAACTTATCTTAAAAGCTCTTTATATGAGATTAACTCTTTTTTGGGGGATGTTATTTTTTAATTTCTTTATTGATTATGGTATCACATAATTGTCCTCATCCCCCCATCCCCATCCCAAACCCCTCCCCACGTTTGCCCCCACCCCTTGTGGTCCATGACCACTGGTTAGGCTTATATGCATGCCCACAAGTCCTTTGGTTGATCTCTCGCCTTTGCCCCCCAAGATTAACTCTTTAGCTGTCAAATATGTTGCAAGAATTCTTTTCAATTTGTTACCAGCCAATTTTAGGATTACCAGAATATTAGTTGAGACTATCTAGCTATACAACAGAAATATACCCAGAAAGAGATAATACTAAATCAGACATGAATTCGTATCACTTTGATATATTGACTATTGTGTATATCTAAGGGAATAGTGTGTATTTAAGATTCATAACTCCCAGGGAAGGATGAGTTAAGAGTTGTCTTTCTCACCTGGGAGAGAAACATGAAGGATGATAGAGAATCATTGATCCCCTGTGTGTACTAACTTGGTTCATTTTATTCAATCATATGCAATCTTTTACACTTTTAGAGAAAAATCATTGGAAATTTTATCAAAGTACATTTAGTAATTGATGCCCTCAAAATACAATAGTCAATATATCAAAGTGATTTGAAATAATACTATAAATGAGCAAAATGCATCTTCTCCAAATATTTAGGGGGAAAAACATTTTAACTTTTAGAATTGGTGGAAAGCAGTTGGCTTTAGTAGAATGCAGCAAGCTGGCTGCTTTCTGAAAAATTATTTTGGGGGGGAGAAAGCAGGCAAACTTCCCAAAAAAACAACTGCCATGAAACACCAAGCATATACAAGAATATACACATCTGTTAAATATCAGTTTACACTGTCCCAGCCAACTTACAAAGCAAGAGGAAATATTTAAGGTCTAAGAAATAAATCATAGTCTACTTTAGGTCAAATTTTGTATGGGTGACTACTGGAAGAATAGGAGTTTTCCACGCCAATTCAAGGCAAGGACCGAATAATAAATCCACTGTTCACATTCAAATGTGGGGAGGAGAGGAAAAGGGAGGCTCCAAGTCCATAAAGTTCTCCTCCCTCTAAAAACACTGCAAAAACTGTCCACGTCTACAGACTCTTACCCTTGAAACTCCTTGGAGAGCGACTTGGAGACTTTTTGTTGCGATTTTTTTGAGGGGGAGCCATTTAGGAATGCTGCAAGATTGCAACTTCCAAATACATGAACATTATCTAAATTCTAAAGCGTTTTGTTTTAGGAAAGATCCCTCCCCCCTTTTCCTTTCAAATGGTTTATCAACACTCCCAATTACTAAAATCCCCAACTTAACTCCAAGAATAAACGAAAACCAAAGCTTAAAAAAAAAAAAAAAAAAAAAAAAAAACAAAACTAGGTAAGGCACACACGACTGTTTCCAATAATTCCTCAATTCCCTCTCAATTAGGATGAAAAAATACTAAATATTTTAGTATTTAGAAACCAAGGAACACGAAGCAAAAAAAAATAAAATAATAATAATATTTGGGAAGGAGGGAGAGAGGGGAAAGTGGGAAAGGGGCCGAGGAGGAGGGGGGATGTGTAGGGAAGGAGGGTAGTGGTGTGTGTGTGTGTCGGGGAGCACAGATGATGCTGACAATTGGGAGGAGAGTGCAGAAAATATCTCGAAGACACAAGCTGGAAGGGAAGGAGAGGGCCGCAGTAGAGGAAGACCAGGCGAAGGCCTACCCAGGGGGGCGCCGTAGAGGAGGGAACACCAGGCCGAGGACTCCTTTGGGAGAGATACCAATCAAGGCCCCAAAGCTTGAAAGGCAGAGACTATGGAGATAGGGTGTTTCTATCCTGGCAACCCCGAGCCCGCACCAGACGTCTCGGGAGGCCATCCTGCTCCGAGGGGTGCGGGGTGACCGCGGGGTTCGCAGACGTGGAAGGGGGTGCGGCCCCGCGGGCTGCGGCAGGGGAGCGGGGAGCAGGCCCGCGGCCCGTACCTTGTAGTAAACATCGAACTGGATGTTCTCGGGCAAGGAGCGGATGTCCCGGCGGGAGCGGATGTAGTTGTCCACGACGGCGGAGATGGCGGTGTTGTAAAGAGTCTCTGGGATCCACTCTAGCTCCACGGCCGCCATCTTCCTTCCCTCCTCCTCCGCCGCCACCGCCTCCTCCTCCTCCTCCCAAAGGCCCCCGCCTCCCTCCGTAGCGAACCCCGCGGCGGCCCCGGACGATTCCGAGGGGCGGCGGCAGCCACGCGGGTCCCCGGCAGAAGGGCACGGCCGCCTGGCTGCGCTGGGGGCGAGCTGGCGGGCGGCGGCGGCAGGCGGAGGGCCCGGGGGAGCGCGGGGCAGGGACCTGGGGACGACGACGGGCCCAGGCCTCACATTCCGGGTTTGAGAGAAACCCGGGTTCTGTCCCAGCGCGGATGCCTGCAGGGGCGGGGCTGCGTGCGCGCCGTCATGACGTCAGCGCGCCGGCGCGCCAGAGGGAAGGAATGCGGCAGGCGGAGAACTTGAGAAGAGCAGAGCCCGGGGCCTTGGCGCGGAGGATGTCCCCTCCCAGGGCCCCAGTCGGGTGGGCGCCTTGCCCTTTTTGCTCTGAGATGAGTTATTCCAGCTTTTTTTTTTTTACCCACACGTTCCTAGTCAGGCGGACGCCTCAATCTCAGCAAAACCCGCCTTAGGCCCTGAGCCTTTCGTGGTAACCTCAGGTTGAAGCTTGGATCCTCATCTCACAAAAATGCACACTATGAGCACGTTGGAAAAGTATGCATTCAGAGAATTCACATGACTCTGGAAACCTTTCCTTAGACTCTGGGCCCTAAGCCAAGGTAAGAACCTTTGGTCCAGGAACGAGGAGTCATGATGGAAGGGAGATTTGAATTTCATTGTGGAACCATTTGCATTGTTTGAAAAATTCCCCCCCCCCCCATTTTAAAATATATTTTTTGTTGATAGCATTACAGATAGCTCCCATTTCTTCCATCTTTGCCCCCCCTTCTCTCAACCGCTTCCCACCTTCACCCCCCAGGTCTTCACTACCCTACGGCCCATATCCATGGCCATGGACTATGCATATAAGTGTTGTGGCCGGCAAGACCCGGTCAAGGCAGGACTCCAGATGGCCAGCAAGGCCCTATTGAGGCAGGACTCCAGGCCAGGGAAGGAACGAGCAACCAGACACACAACAAAGAATGTAGCATAACTTTTGTAACATAGTTCTGTTGCAATGCTCAACCCCCAGGCAGGCACGTCCTGTTACCAGTAGCCTCAAGGCAGGACAAACAGACCAAGCCAGGTCAAACAGAGACTGCTTAAGCTGAAAATAAACCCCTACCCCAGGTGTTGTATAAACTTTAAATGTTACTGTACTAGTGGAATTTTTCTATAACTTATAACTGACCTTTCTTTGTTAAAACTTTAGCCAACCATAATCTGCCAGGCATCCCTAAGACGGGGATAAAAGCAGCATGCTTAGAGTGGGTCAGGGCTCTCGTTGCTCGCTGCTGTGTCAGTTGAGACGGGAGCCGGGACTCGAGTTCATAATAAAGGCTTCCTAAATTCCAATTTGGCTGACTGGTGGTGGTCATTCGCAGGTCGCCCATAACAAGTATTTGAGTTCTTTGGTTTATCTCTTGTCCCACCAACCCCACATCGAGGTATGTCCGTCTGTTCCATGCCTCCCTGCTTCGTGACTTTTTAAAAAAAACATATTTTTTTTTCCAAACAAATTTTAACGACAACAAAAAGAACTTGCTTTAGAAGATTTGGGTAGGAAGGTTAGCCTGATTATGGAATTAAATAATAGTGCCATGGCCAACTAGCTCAGTTTGTGAGAGCATCCTCCCCATAGGCCAAGGTTGTGGATTCCATCCCCGTCAGGGCACTTACAAGAATCAACCAATCAACTCATAAATAAGTGGAACAATAAATCTATGTCTCTCTCTCCCTCCCTCGCCTTTCCTTCTTTCTCTCTCTCAAATCAATCTTAAAAAATACAAATGCCCAGTTACATCTTCATTTCAGATAAAAAATATAGGTATGTTCATGCGGAATTTTATCCACCCATTCTGAATCACTATAGGCTTGAACCCTCAAGAACTGGTTGAACAGAGAAACCAGTAGAAACTAGGCCATTTTTATTGTGGACCACCTTCAAATGAGGAAGAAATGTTCTTCCTTGTACCCTAGGGAATTAATGAATCACAGCAGAGCTTGAATATGAACTCAATAATTATGTAAATACTGGCTTTCATATTTTGGATGATAGTATAGCATCTGAGTTTTTAGTGGTCAGAGCCAGATCATAAAGAGGCTTAAATGTAATGCTAATAGCCTTGGACTTTATCTTGGAGATGATAGGGAATCCTTATAGGATTGTAAGAGAAGTAGAAGGGTCAGAGTCTATCGGAAGAAAAACAGCAGTTGTCCATTACCTGCAGAGCCAGAAGGAGCTCTAGAATTTTGCATTGCCAGCTACAGAAGGCTATAGGGAAGAGGCCTGCTAAACTGCCATGGCCGCCTATACATTTTAGCAGATAGAGGTCCTTTGTATCACAAAGTTATTCTTATAGTCCACCAGATCCCCTTTAAGCCTTGACTACTGGTAGCCTCAAATTTAGCAGGAGGCCTTGCACCATAAGAGCTATATAAGGCATGAACTGGGACCAGAAAGAATTCTGAGAATCCTAAGAGGTGATACACATTACGACCATTTTTAAATTGCATTTTCTCCCATCGCCAAGGTGTACCTCCCTCTCAAATCTTTTTGGATTGTGTCTGCTTCAACAAATAGAATATAGCAGATGTGATGCTAGGCCAGAAAAGGACCTATAGAGTCCACGTGTTCTCTGGAATACTCACTGTTGGATTCCTGAGCCACCATATAAAAATT